TCTCTCTCTCTCTCTCTCTCTCTCTCTCTCTCTCTCTCTCTTTCTCTCTTTCTCTCTTTCTCTCTTTCTTTGATATTTTACCTCTTTAAAAATACCTTTCGACTAAACTTGCCAAAGTTCCCTTGCCATCTTCTAAAATCTTCTGTTGCGCTTATCCATTTGCCTTGTAACAGTTTCCCGTTTGTTTGTGGAAAGAAAAGAAGTAAATGAATTTGTCTTTTAAATTATTCTTTTTTTATTGTATAAAATCTTTAATTTCTTTATCAGAACAAAAACACAGAGCAATAGATGAAAGAGTTTTTGAAAAGAAATAAATATTGTACACACATATAAGATTCTTCTGATCAGCTTCTCACATACCAGGTGACAGTCGTTGAAGTATTTTTGATAACCATGAAGTTGATTTACTGACGGCATCTGCAAAACTTATTCTTTCAATCATCTTTCTATTCCTCGAAACATATTCAATTCCAAATGAAAAATATAACAAAAGCTAGAAGTGTAGTTAATACTGAGCTTGAAGAACTTGATCCTCGAGGTGTAGATGGACTTGGAACTTCCATTACTGGATTTGTTTTTTTGCCCAACTCTTTGAAAATATTCACTAAGCCAGCAACATAGTGTCCTTAAAAGATAATGAATGAGTAAGTTTCTCTATGACATGAATCTGATAAACAGCATTGTGCCAGCGGCCTCTAGTCTTTCTTCATTTTTTTAATACTCTTTCAGTCCTCTGTGAAAGCCTAGACAGATGTCGTTGAGGACCATTCTTATGCCGACAGATCAGCAGAAAAAAAACTCTCACGAACCTGCTGATAATTGAGACTTAGCAGCGAACGCTATAGCATCAAACTCCGCAGGATCTGAACCAGAACTGTTTGTTTTTTTAGTAGTTAAAAGCTTACTAATGCCCGTGTTTTTTTCTCCTCCGTAATAAAGATGACGTTCATCAGAGGAAAAAACAAATACAGCACTCTTCTGGCATTGACCATCTAGGTTCCATCGTTTAGACAACTCATCAGCAAACTTTTGTGATCCCTTAATCAATATGAGTCAGTTATGCCATGACACAGTTATCATCATTTCTCCATAGCTTATTATTTATGCCTATGAGGCGGAAATGGTAGAAAGGAAAAACATACTTCTGGAACAATGGCCAGAACAGCATCAATTCCTTTTCTTGCACAAAAATCTTTGGAATCACTTGATGATCGAGTAGATAAACGGCTCAGCTCATTGTTCAACCGATATCGATCAGATTCATTGAGTATCTTGAAAAAGCGAAAAAAAATAGAGAAGGATAAAAGTAAAAAAACTTGATTCGGATCGCATATGTTGCTGACAGATCTCATTGAGCATTGCCTGAATCCACCTGACCGAGGGTTCGGATAGGTATCTGGTGTCCATTCATCCTCGCAGCTTACAACGAGGATGAAACAGAAAACAGAGAGAACTACCCTCATACTGCAAATTAGGACGTTTTCGAAAAGAGTTATGAAAGGAATACGGAGAAGAAGAGCTTGAAGACCTTGAGCGTTGTCAAGAAAGATAGAAGAGTAAGAATTTTAAAAGAATCTTTTGATGGTTAAGTGTAATTAACTGTTCAATTAACAAGGAAAACTATCGAATGCTGAAACGAGTTATGAAAAAGCAACAGCTGAAAACATCTAGTTGATAGCAAATAGATATACAACAGAAAATGTGATTTTACATCTTCAACTTCAAAATATTATTGATGAACTAGCCAAATGATCGATTTTCAGACTTTCTGATCATGACAAAACCGGAATCGTTTGTAAATAAATGATTTTCATATTTTGATGTCGAAGGAAGGTTTCGAACAGAATTTTTTTTTATAAATTTGGATTGAACCTAAGGAAGCAGGAACGGCAAAAAGGGAGAGAAAGAGAAAGAGTGAAGTTTATCAAGAGAACTACAGGTGAACGTCGAGAGAAGAAGAGAATCTCAACTGTTTACACGCAAAGCGCATAACTTTGTGTGACAATTCCGAAAGAAAAAAATTTGAGTAAACTTATTGATTCATGAATTAGTTGGATAGTACCTCTGTTTGAAGAAAAGAAAAGAAACTTGGGAATGGAGGTAGGAAAAGGAGCAATTAAACAACATTTAAAATAATAAAACTAGAATGGTTATAAGTATTTTGTTTCTTTTTTAATATAACTTAACAGGTTTTTGAGAATCGCCGTTGAAATGTTTGAACCTGTGCTCAATCAACACGAACTTCTTCAAGTTTGCTTGGTTTGACATGATTTTATTAGTAGAGCAACTAGAAAAATTTGTTGCAACCCTAGCTCTAATTCAATAATCACTTCATAGATGTGAATGTGCTATGAGAATGAAGAAGCTGCCGAAGAAACAAATTTTATCCCATTGATTTCTTGAACAACTACTTCGTCTTTCATACCCTATAGCAAGGTTATGAAAAACCTTTCTATCGTACTAATTTTCATAACACCCAATTCTTTTTTTTTGATGATGATGAAAGCTGTAAATATTCATTAAAAATGAGAACTTATAAAGATTTGCTTCTAGTTGTTTCAGAGTCTAAGTGTGGTTCTAGTTTGGTGTTGTCAAACGGAGAGTGCTTGCCTTGACCACACTACTCACGTGACACTTCCTATATATGATAACAGCTAACCTACACGAATTCCACTTTTTGAACAAACCTATCAATCAATATCATTACACCCTATCGGTTAAGTAATCGATACTATTGTGATTTTTTTAATCTTTTGAATCGTTCACGCTCATCAAATAATGAGTCTCGGGCAGATATTTTGAATGAAAAGAACGGAAACTTAGAACATTCTCTACATATGTACGCATTTTACTTGCTTGTAGCTCCTGTCTCACTCTTCTCTCCATGATAACGAGCATGATATCTTAAGTACATGGTGATATTCTAAGTAGGATTTTCAATGGTTGCCGCCTCCTATTCGTACACTTACCCTTCTTACTCTCGGATTAACCCAATTTAGAAAATAAAATTTTGGAAAAATTGAATATCTATAAAGTTTTTCGAACTTTCAACCCTATTTTTATGTTTTCCATGAGTTATGTTGAAGAGTTTCGGAATATTTTTAAATACGTTTCTAGTTTCGAAAGACAAAGAGATGGAGAAGTAAGATACAACTGTATATCTTTAGAATAATAGATTGTGAGTTGAGCGCTAAAAGATCGGCATTACTTCAATCTTTCCAGTTTAGTTGAACATAGTAGAACTCTTTTTTTTATTCTGTTAGTTCTTATGACGATTTCTCGATAGCGTTCAGAAGAAGTGTGGGCCCAGGGAGGTATATACGGTAAGAGCTGAAGAAGGCAGATACCTTCAGTAATTTTCCAATCTGCAACTCTGGACAGTGGCGTAGTCTTCGACTTGAAGACAAAGTCAACTAGAAAGCAAATTAAAGCAAAATTTAAGACGAAGAATTTAGAGAAATTGCCATTGTGAAAGAAGAAGAAGATTTTCTGTGCAGATTACTTTGTTCTAGTGTAGAAAAAAGTCCGCTTCACTACTAATTTCCGTTGATCTATAATATTTTTGTGAATTACGGAAAGTGAGGGTTAAATACGGACTATGTTGTACACAAAACCTTCTTGTCTTGTTCATTTATCTCCGGAAGATAGAAATCTGCACTTCATGCTGGAAACTATTCTTACTCTCTTCACTGAATGGAATTCTCTCTCTGTTGCTCTCTCTCACACACTCCATTCTTTTGTTAGTCATTATAAAATCAATAAGCATTGCTTCCACATAAGGATAATGCAATTTTCGGAAATGTTTGCTAGTCTCACGATATCCGTCGTCTTTTCCAGTTGTTTAGTATACGCTGATCTTTCCAAACGACAATCCCACGTTTTCTGTGCTTTCAAACCTAAAAGGCTCATCATGTTCCACATTTCTTTTTTTTCATTCATTTTCTTGGTTGTGTTGTGAACCATTTTTTAACAGCCCAAATTATTTATCTTCTGACCTGACAGCTCTTTTTAATTCATCGTCATTTCCATATATTGAAGGTATGCTTTCTCGTATAACTTTAGTACTTATAAACGTTCTAGCTTATAAATGTTTACAAGTGCTGCAACAATTCTGATCAACATTGCCCACCCTCTTTGTCAACGTTTCCTTATCTATCTATCTGAGCATATTCATTCATCTTACTATTTAGCTCAATAATACGGAACCTTTATCAATTGTTTTCATTAACTGTTTGAATTGAAATTTGCGTGTTGTTTCCATGGATATTCACCAACTAAAACCCATCATGGCTATTCCATAGTTCGCTTCTTCATGACGAATATATTGATTCGTTTAGATGGAAAAAACAACCAAAGTTGTTTCCTAGTTACATGACATACTTTTATACTTCTCTAAATAAATAACAACTAAAAAAACATATTTCCCTTTTCTCCAACATGAAACGTAATTGTATACTTGTATGCTTCGAATTGCTTATTGTATGAACAGCTTAAGGTGGATTGAGCACTCCTCACATCTGACTACTTTTAGATGAACGAAGATGTATATTCTCTGAAATATGAAAGTTTGAAGTTTCTGCGTTGTGGAAACTTCGGAAGTATTTCTGAGAGTCGGAGAATTGTCGACGGGCGAGAGGTATACTCTTGGAGCAATTGTTTTGGCAAATTTTCAAATTAAGACAATTACCAAAGTTGTTACTGTCGATTCTATTTTCGGAGAATGGGTTCTTTGTGAAAAACAGAAAAATCGTCAGATCCCATCAGAAATACACTTTCTGGAACGTTTAGAGCACCCAAATATTATCAAAGTAAATCAGCGTTATCTGATTACTTTAGTACTTTTTATATTTTCAGTTCATTGAGTACTTTCAAACCAAAACTAGTTTCATAATTGTGACTGAAAAAAGAAATTCGGGGATAGATTTATTTGAGTTCATTAATAAACAACCCAAGTTAGAAGAAAAGCTCACGGCTCATATTTTTTCACAGGTATCCAGCGAGTTGCTTTCCGTTTTAACAACTTATGCAGGTCCTATCAGCTGTGGCATATCTACATTCTAGAAATATTCTACATGGTGATATAAAAGAAGAGAACGTTGTCATTGATCGCTCACTGAACTGTATGGTACAATAAGCGTTATTCTGAATTTGAAAAAAATTTTAGGTGTCCTGATTGATTTTGGCTCTTCTGCGTACTTCGGCCCAGATGTAGCGTTTTCGTCCTACTCTGGTTCTCCCCAATGTATATGTCCAGAAGTTCTCCGGAGAGAAATGTTGAGAAACAATCCTTCCCTGTTAACAATTCTAAGAATTTAGTTTTCGAGGTCCAGAACAGGAAGTTTGGTGTTTAGGAGTTTTACTGTACACCCTTCTTCATTTTGACTATCCTTTTCACTCGGACAATGATATCCTCAATTCCAATTTAGTGTTCAACGAAGAAATATCGCAAGGTGTTGTTGTAGTTTAGATTCGTTTGAAATCTCTTGATTTAGATATGCAAGAAGTGCTATTGAAGTGTTTGCATCCTATCGCAGTGTGCCGTCCGGCGGTTTCATATCTTGCAAACGTTGACTTATTCAAGCAACCAATAGAATTGAACCTTTATACATTCTACGATATATTTGATGCAGGTCAATTAACCGCCCGGATGAAAAACTAAACTTATTTAACAGATATAAACGTTGAAACAATCAAAGCGAATACTGGACAGGGAACATCGTACGAAAAATGTTCTTCAACCTGCACTTCCGATGACGATTTAAATACTTTTTATGCAAATTCCTTTTTAGCTAATATATTACTTTGAGTAATCACCTTTCATCATTGATGTGGTAATAACAGTCTTAATTACGGGTGCTTAAAGGTGAAAAGATTTCATAAAATTTAATTGTTTCGCATTGAGGGAAGGATAGAGCTCAGAAAACAAATATAAGGATTGTTAGTATAACACAAGGAAATGCTAAATAAACCCTCCAAGAAGTGAGTCGACAACCTAGTGAACCCCATAATGCTCAGAACTGTACTTCGCATTTTATTTTTTTTACCTCAAAAAAAGTACCAAGCTTAGTGAAAAATTCGTTTCTGCTATTCTTCGTATAGTTTTATATTCTGGATTAGCTCATTCAATACGGCTTTATAGACACAGTGAAATAGAAATAAAGTATACAGCTTTTATTCTTCATATCTCTTACAATCGTAAGGTCTTTCATGTTCGTCTCATTCCATGTATGTCTTCCGCAATTTAAAGGTTGTTCACGTGCTTCATTCTCACATTGAATTAATAACGACGCGATCCTATTTTTCAAGCGTGAAAACGATACTGTATTTTATATATATTCATAATATTACTTAGAGAATATTCTATTGTATTCCGGAAGCACTTGAAAAGCTCCAGGAAGAATATGTGAAAATGGTTTGCTGCTCTGCTAACGTGCTCCACTGTCAATTTGTGCATCGGTATTTCTATCCTCCTTGACGCACTGTCTTTTGCTACCTTCCTCTGTACGAGAGGCTGCGCTGTTACCTTAGTTATAGTGTGAAAAAGCTTTATCCGCATTGTTTATTTTCATTGTGAAAGTCTTAGAAATCTGACTTTTCTATTCTTTGTGTTCTTTTCTAAAAATCCCTTTCGAGTTTGTTGTTGATCTTTGATCTTCGTAGTTGGGGTTTCTGCAATGAGAACTGATTCCGAGACAGTATAAGTATATTTGAGTGAGAGTTAGTATTTGCTACTCTCCGTCCAATCAGTTGTATACCATAAGAACCAGCCTGCTTGTGAAGGGGGTTCGCCAGTTCTCGAATTCGTGCCAGCAGTCCACAAAGGATGCAGAAGACCATACCTTACCTCTGTAGCTTGTTGTCTCTCGAACTATGTAGATGTGTCACACAACAAGTAAGACGTATACTGCCTTGACTATCGTAGTGCATGCTCAAGGTGGCGCCCTCTCTCTCTCTCTTGTCTTTCGAGCGATTTTTATAATCGTTCTGATGTTCCGACTACTGCTCCTTGAACTTCTTCATCTCAATATTTGGTGCATTCAGTCTCATAACTATAATAGAGGATGTTCAGAACTTTGGATGTAGTTGAGCCATCACTACATTGATCTCTTTTCGTTTTCTTCTGTTCGAGTAGTGTTACATCCTTAATGATCGATTGTTGCTAAAGGGCGTGTGGCTTTCTCCATAAGCCTCATCCACCTTACATCGATAGTGTTCTCAATCCCATCCAATACTGTTCCTGAGTTCTGGGCGCAGTTTGCATTCGATCATCTTCTTCATATTTGCGTAGAAAAGTG